GTCCCACACAGCTCGCGTTGCGGCGATTGCAGGTTCTCCACATAGTAGGCTCACTGAAATAAGACGACATCTTCGGCGGTGGTACGTAATGGGCGGGAAATGTGGTTCCATTGTTCGGATATCTCGGTTTGTTGAAGAGTGCTCTTAGAGGGCAGGTGTGTGAGTCGAATGTTGAATAAATTGGCCGTCTGTTGTGATTGCAGCTTTTGGACGTTAAGTTTTCCTTGCATTGTTGGGCGCACATTTTTTTTGCTGCACATAAGCGGGTGCGTATCTTGGCTGCAACAAGATAGTGGTCCGAGCCGATGTTTGGGCCTCGGAGTCTACGTACGCCTAAAACCCTGGAAGCATGCCTTCCGTCTATCACAACATTGTCGATTTGGTTTCTCGTTTTTCGATCTGGAGACCGCCATGTATCTTGGTGGATATTCTGATGCTGGAACCCAGTACTACATATTACCATATTTCGGGCCCCGACGAACTCGATTAGCATCAGTCTGTTATCGGACGTTTCGTCGTGGAAGCTGAATTTTCCGACAGTGGCGCCAAAAAAGATCCCTTCATTGCCCACCTTGGCATTGAAATCACCAAGCACGATTTTTATATCGTTTCGGGGGCAGCGCTCATATTTATGTTCTCTCCAAGCTCTCATAGAAGAGATCCTTGGAATAATCGTTCTTCTCTTCCGTAGGGGCATGGGCACAGATGAGCGAGATTCTGAAGAATCTTGATTTGATGCGGATTGTGGCTAGACGATCGTGCACCGAGGTGGACGCCAATACTCGGCGACGGAGTCTCTCTTCCACCACAAATCCAACGGCAACTACAGTAGATGTCGCCTGACTCCACGCTTACCTTGCCTTGCCTCGTCCATCGCATTTCTTGGATGGAACTGATGTCAGCCTTAGTCTTCCCGAGGACATCAACCATCGCTCCGTTAACGGGCGTTGAAAAGTTATAGTTCTGAATGTACTTCGGTGCCCTTCGATTACCGGTTTCTACTTCAGCTACCATGTAGATTATGTAAGTGTATCATTATGTCAGCTACATTTTAGAAACCCTAAAGATTTCTTATTGTGGCAATCCTGGTAATAATCCAACGCGTTGTATTTTCTAGCTGTGCGCACTCTTTTACTAGCCATTGCGAAAAATTGTCCAACTCAACTTGGGATCTAAGTAGTGTGACTCCCAAATATGTATGTCGCTCGATTAGATTAATTTATGCCCTTTTTTGATAGTAGTAAATATAATTGAGAGTATATATAATTATAAATCACCTTCAGCCGTCCTTGAACATCAGCCAAATTAAACATACATACAAATGTTGTCTTAAATAATTAATGAATAACCAGAGCAAAGACAGCAGAAAGAAATACATAGTAAAGACTATTCAACGAAATAATAATGGAAAGTCCATTAATTCCACCATAAAAAATAAGGCGTTGGCTGGTTTCCTCATTAATATACGTCGAATAATAAGTTTAACATACATAACACTTACAAACAACCAATTAACATGGACATCAAAAGAAAAGTAACCTTGAGCAGTTCACTCCAAACTCCCAAAAACCAATTCCGTAAACCATTAGACCCAACGCCACCCTACTGGCGAGACAACACTTTTTGCTTACTTTACTTCTATTTTATTTTGTATTGTTTTGTTTTTTTTTTTGGTTAATCTAACTATTAGCAGAATAAAAATTGTGTTTAAGTTCAGCGCTCTTTAAGGTTGACCCTTAAATGGTAGCACCTAATGACATTGCCACATATTTACAACTAATCACAAATACGTGCACGCAGCACACAAAGCAAACATCTAAATATTAGAGCAACAACAATAACGCCACAACTGCCCATAACTTAACGCGAAGACGAGACGAAGGAAGTTTGAGTAGCTCAGTGAGAGGCGTTAGCAGACGCGCCTAAAAGCAAAGATGTTAACGCGAACTTAGTTTATTTAATAATGCATATCTTCAGGCGTTGTAACCCTTTGTAGTGTTATTTACTCATTAAAACTTAATATTGTTTATTTATGTACATTGGTACGAGTGTCTACCAAAGGTTAGATGTGTTCCATGTCAGGGTGACGTATGTATTCAATAACAGAGTTGTATAGCTTAAGACTGATTTCAGATTACAACAATGTTGTAAATAATAGTAGTATATTAGTAACGGTATGATTACATTAAAGTAATTATATATTTAGTAATATCAATAGGTAATGAAGTAATAAGGTTATTATATCAAAACAAACTGCATTCACCCTTTTTGTGGATATAATAATTTTTAAATTAAAGCTTTGCTTCCATGAACAAGTGCAGATTTCACTATACTTGCTTTTAGCCGACTTCACAAAAAGGAGAAAGGTTATCAATTCGTCGAAATATTTGTTTTTTTTTATGTACATATGTTACCACATAACTTTTCACCACGTTAACCGATTTCTATAATTCTTTCTTTTTTAAAGGAAAATCCGATCATCGGATCATGAAGAAATTAATGATAATCTTAAATTCTTATATGATAATTGAAGCCAGTTTGGTTTTTTCCTTAAAAATTAGTTTTAAATTTTTATATGAGAATTGAAATCGGTTTTGTTTTTTGCTTAAATATTAGTTGCTGATTTATGCACTTAAAATTTCTAAAGACCGAATCGGACTAATAACGCGTAAAAAAATTAAGAAAAATATATATAACTATGGATTCCATAAACATGAAAACATGTTATTTTTAAACAAAAAACAAAATACTTCAATACTTTAGAAGGACGATTAGGTATTAAAAATGCGCTTTTTATAAGTTTTATCGTTTTAAGTTAATAAAGTTTGAAGGACGAAATTCGATGATGAGGTCGTGCGTATATTAGTCTTCAAAGAATAATTAAAAAAAATAAATAAAAATATTGAAAATTTTCAAGAAAATGTAAGCACAAAATTTGTAAAGGACATTTTCCATACCCATTCGTCCAAAAAATGTATTCTGTTATAACTCTAAAGATTTTATATGATACCATTATTATTATCCTACATTGAACTGAATTTTTTACATAATTTTTTGTAATGATCGAACTTTCTAAATTTCAAAGTCCTTTTAAAAAATCCTGACGTCAGAGGGAAAACTAAGTACGCAGTTGTACTATAATTTACCCATAGTTTCTCGAATATTTATATTCATTTTTTGTGTGCTAAATTTCAGTAAAAAAGTATTAAAGAAATGGGATCTTTTATTCTGATTTTCTATATCCGATGCCAATATAATAAATAAAATTAAAATTTGAACTTTATCCTAACCTCAATAATTTTAGGTGTCAATTGTTACAAGTTGAGCCATATTTGTAGGATAACTTTTTTTTTATAGTTAAATTTTGAGAATATAAGGCCCTCTGTACATTACTCGCTTAATCATAGTAGAATACTACTTGCGTCATGTTGAAATGGTTAAAAAACAACTTGACATCTGGACAATTGCGTGTCCTGAAAACGCTACCAGCTAAACACATACATACATATGGCTGTGATTAAAATAATAGTGGTCAAATTCAAAATGATGTTGCTGGCAACTTAAGCTATATTCACGTAAATAACCGCCTCATTTGAATCTAGTGAAATTCTAAAGGCATAAGTTGAGATTATTAATATTTGAAGGGGCACCCACGACATGTATACATCGCGGGTTATCGTGATGGAACATAACGATTGAGAAGCTTCAGATGGTTCTGAATGTGAGATCCCTTCAAACTTAAAAAAATGCAATAACCTTCCTTTGATTAGGTTCAGCTCAATTCAGCTATAACCACAACACCTGAAAAGCCTGCTGGGGAATTCCACACTAAGGTTGTTTGCATTCTACATTGTTATAAACCGACTTCAAAAAAAGGAGGAGCTTATCAGTTCGCAGGAATATTTTTTTTTTTGGAACAACTTTAACCGATTTCATCGAAAAGGTGGTACCTCAAGGGTGGTCCCATAGTAATTTTGTTTAGATCCGATAATTGGATCGTGAAGAAATTAACGATCATCTTAAATGTTTATTTTACAATTGAAATCGATTTTGTTTTTTGCTTAAAAGTTACTTGTAATGAATCCTCTTCTCATCACCCTCGTTACTTTCATAAAAGGATTGTCTTCTTCGCGTTTCAAAAACATAACGCAGGTCTTTATATACGACATCAAATGAACCACTTTTTATTCATGTGGAATAAAATACAAGCTTTCTGCTTTTTTAGGTCATCAACTTTGGTGAGCCTTCCTGAACGAGGACCATCCTTGATACCAAAATTATAAGCGTGGTATTGCTTAAACCGGTTTTGGCATTTGCGTTCTTTTTGACTACGGTCATCTTAAACTTTACGCCTTTTTTACATTAAGTTTCCAGTTTAATTTAGTGTCTAGGATTACTCCCAGATAGTTTGCATTGGATGATAGGTGGATTGTCTTTCCGCCTATGGATGGAAGTCTAAATTGGCGTATCTTATTTGTATGTGTAACCCATAGTACATGAGTTAAAGTTAAGGTCCCTTGATTAAGCCCACGTGAGTAGTTTAGGCAGTGCTTCCTGTAGGGTTTCACTAGCAGTAAAAAGAAAAGTTCCTGTGACTGCTAACACTATATCGTCAATCATCGCCAGTAGTAACCCTTCCTCTATTGAGTTCCAGCAGTATGCGGTTCAAACGCTACTATCCACAAGAGTGACCACAAAAATTGGGAGACACTATGGATTACCTCTGCTCACACATCTACTTATTAGACTACCTCCACTTTACGCCTAAACAATTCTGTTTTCCAGCTATGAGCGTATCCAACCAACTACACCGCTATCCACACAAACTTTTATAGGTGATTGAATATTGTTGAAGGCACCCTCTATATTTAGAAAAGCTGCTAAAGTAAACTGCTTGAAGTGCAGTGATTTTTATATTTGCATATATTTTTGTTAACAACAACAATAGTATCATGTTAAATATTATACATATAACTAAACAAAATTTGCTTTACTTTCAGACTAATTCGAGTTTGAGGAATACGGGTACAACCATCTTTCATATAAGTTTTGAGTATTCCTACAGGGTATGTATTAAACATATACCATTGAAAATACTTTCATACATACGTACACTTGTAAAAAATATGTTTCCATGATTTATAGCCGGTAATATACGACAACCAGTCACGCTTCGCTCCAGCAGTGAACCACCGCGCTTTGCTGCGCGTAAAATGGCACAAAACGGTTGTTGGTCAAGCAGCAGCGGTGGCAGCTCATCCTCGTCGGCAGCGCAAAGTCGAGGACTAGGAACGGCAAGTGGTGCCCAAGAGGAACGTTTAGTGGTTAGTTGTGATTTTGTTTTTTTTTTGTGTTTACCTATCGTAAATATTCATGTCCTAACTGTGTCTGCTGATTTTATTTACTTAGGTTGTGGTGCGGGTACGTCCAAGTGCAGAAACCGCAGACCATTGTGTTGATGTCATTTCGGAAAAATCACTTTTGTTTGATGATGGTGGCAAAAGTCGGCCTAGACAATACTCATATGATTATGTTTTCAAAGAGACTGACACACAGGTATGATTAAAATCTCAAATTTACATTGGATTCTATGAATGCTTGAGAATTCACCAAACTGGCGGTACCAAAAATTGTTTAGTTGCTCTCAAACTTTTTACCAATGTGGGGAGGACATTGGTCTCTCTCATATGCACCTCGAAACGAAAGTTTAAGATTATACATATTTATATAAAGACTTTAGATATTTACTAACTTTACTATAGACAACGTTAAAGCATGTGAACATTTTATTTCTCACCAAAAAAACACACAAAATTAGATAAAGAAGCAAAGTGCGTGAGGCCCACGCGTAGTAGATGATAGTAGTATATCCGTGTTTACGAATGGTTCAAAGTAACCGGCTTTTATCTTTCTTTGGAGGACCAGCAGGTAAGCTTAGTTTACCACAAGCCAGGGATTGTATGATTGTTGATGGCCAATCTCATCGTCATTCTTTGTTGGGCTCCCACATATAGCAAAATATATTTAGAAGGAAATGTATGACTTTGACATGCCAATAAAATGTGCAATGTGGGTAAGCGGGACCGACATAGGGAGCTGAAGAGAGAACCGAGACGTATTTGCCGTAATAAGAAGAGAGAGGCCGAAATACGTGAGTGCGAAGAGCTTGAAATGCTGGCCGTTCAGGAAAAATGCCCGAAAATTTTACCAGCGAGTTAGGCGACTTACGGAACCAATGCAACATTTTGACCGATGTCTAGAAAATACTTGAATTATAGAATGAAAACTTTTTTACCCTATTGAGTGGAAAACGAACCCGAGCCCCCATTCGGATGACGACGGATTCAATGTCCCATCGCCTGACTATGACGTGGTACGGATAGCAATTATGCGGTTGAAGAACAGCAAAGCTACTCGAGCTGAGCTATTCAGCTACCGCGGCGAGGCGTTGAAAATATTCATGCATAACCTCTTATGCAGAATATGGTCAGATGAACGGATACCGGACGACTGGTATTTAATCCACAAGAAATATGACTCCGCAATACATGACAACTACCGTGGGATCAGCCTTCTAAGCATAGGTTGAAGGTCTTATCAGTGTGACTTTAGATCTGGCAAATACACCGTAGACCAGGTATTCACCAAACGCCAAATATTGGAAAAGACTCACAGAATAGCATCGTTTATTTGTCGACTTCAAAGCCACTGGCGACAGCATGAAAATAAGTTGTCTCTATGCTGTTATGCCGCGAAACTAATACGGCTATGTAAAATTAAATTGATCAATAGCACCAGCATCGTCAGAATTGAGAAGGACCTCTCCGAACCGTTTGATACCAAACGGTGTTTTATACAGGCCGACAGAATGAACTGCTCAAACCAAACTTTATAAGGCTATCAACAAGCTCGTCCTTATCTATAGTGCAGAAACCTTAACAAAGACCAACGTTCGATGTGGCGGCCTTAAGAGTGATCTAGAGAAAGATTTGGTGGCAGATAAAAGACGTTCTACGCATTTTCAAAGCTAGATACAGCGTAGAAATTAAGATACTCTTGTCCTGAAAGTATTCGATGTGATATACTTTTGAGATAGTAGAGAAAAGCCCCCTCTGCTTTTGAAAGACCATGTGAAAAGAGCCTTGGCTACTCAGTGTTTCTAATTGATGCAGGTTATCGAGAAACAAGCGACCGGCGCGCTATGTTGAACTCAATTAAAATATCTCTTTAGGTCCTGTCTTTTTGTTTACTCACCTAATCAGACTCAAACGCAGAGCGTTCAATCTCACGCCATGAAGATAAAATTTAGGCACGACTTTAATGTTCACTAGGAATCCGAAATCATCCTAAACGGTAGTGTGACTCTAAATGGCCCGACAATTTGTATATCCATTTACCTACCCAAAGGCCTGTAGAAAATTATTGTTTTCTTCGCTGAAACTCTCTCAAATTGGATACCGCCTTGCAGGTCTTTACTTTAGTTATATTTGATCTGTTAAAAGATAATACTTAAAGTTTAAAATTAACTTTTTTGGTTTTGTAAATCAGGAAAAGGTATACAAAAAAACCACAGCGCCACTGGTCAGGGATGTAATTAATGGTTACAATGCCGCTGTATTCGCTTATGGCGCCACGGGTTCTGGAAAAACACACACCATGCTGGGACCTTGTCGCAAGAAAACAACATCAACGGCTACTGAACGTGGCGCAACCGCCTCATACGACGCCGATGCCAATAGCAACGAAAGTGGTCTGATGGTTCGAGCCATCGAAGAAATATTTCAAAATATCGACAATGCGCCGAATAATAGTAGCAAGGTAAGCCTGAGTTATTACTTTTATCGCAAATATGTAAATTCATATGATCTCCTTATAGGTATCAATTTCCTACTTGGAAATATACAATGAGCTCATTCGAGATCTCTTGAATCCTGGCGGTCCGCTAGAACTGCGCGAAGATAATCGTGGACAACGCATTACTGTCGCCGGCCTTTCGGAGATCACCACCATAAGTCAGCAAGAGGTCGTCTCATTGCTGCTTAAAGGCAACAAAGCTCGTACCATGGAACCGACAGCGGCTAATCAAACTTCATCTCGCAGTCATGCACTCCTCAGTATTACCGTGCAAACCAAAACCCCTTTGGGTACAAAACAAGGTCGTCTATTCCTCACCGATCTTGCTGGCTCAGAGCGAGCTAAGAAGACGAAAAACCGTGGAAAACGTTTGCAAGAAGGTGCACATATCAACCGTAGTCTGCTGGCATTGGGAAATTGCATTAATGCGCTTTCGGGTGGAGCGCGTTACGTGAATTACCGAGACTCGAAACTTACGCGTCTATTAAAAGAGGCATTGAGTGGCAAATGCAAGACCGTTATGATTGCGCACGTCGCTCCCGAGGGCAAACATCGTGATGAAACAAAAAATACACTCGTATATGCAGATCGGGCAAATAGCATTTCCACGAGGCTGCAGAACTCTGTCTATCTTGATGAGGTCAAAGACTTTCCCACAAAACATTATCAAAACCTTGTATCCGAGTTGCGCGAGGAAGTGACGCGCTTGCGTAGTAAAATGTTAACTGAACGGCCACGTAGCGGAGCAGCGGCGGCTGCAGCAGCACAACCAGCACGCTCCACCGAAGAGGATGAAAAGCGAAAGACCGAACTACGCTATTTGCGAGAACAAATCGTGCTCACCTTCAAGCAACAAATGAAACTGCGACGCAAATTACTCGAAGCCGAAAGCCACCTGCTAGGACTAGAGCTGGATGCTGAGCGCCAGCATATGATCATTTCACACTGGCAAGGACGAATGGGGAAGCTCTACGACACACCAGCTGATGACGGTAAGGATGATTGTTGCAATTGTTGTTGAAATTGTTGAACAAAAAAAAAAACTATGTAGACTAAATAAGCAAGTTATGATTTTTGAAATTTTCTTTACTTTTTTACACAAAAGATATAGAGTCTGAAGGCGCAATAGCGCTAAAGAACGCTTGGGGCGAACTATCGGCAATCGAGAAGGAGACACGTCGCTACAAAGAAATACGTGAGCGCACTGAGCAAGAGTTGGAGTTGTGTCGGCAGAAAGGCGTGCAATTGGAAGATGTAAGTATATCTGTGAACCAACATATTTCCAAAAGAAGTAATACCTAGTATAAATATCAATGACCCCAAACCAAAAGGAGCTACCAGAGCGCATTACCAGCGATGAAGAACGTGAACTACTGGCGCTACTTTGCCGTGTTCACGAGCTAGAAGCGGATAAAGTGTCTCTGCAAGCTGAGCGCCTGGCCCGTCAAGCCGAACTTCGAAGGCGTGATCTGCAGCTGTTACGCGCCGAACGCCAACGTAGACTATGTGAGGACATTATCAGCTCACAGCGTCGACTTATAGAAGAGGGCAATGTCGAGCTGCCCGATGAACTACGCGAACTTTATGGCTTGTACCAGCAAGAGATACACGCCGGTGTTGTTACACCAGCTACCTCATATGAACGCAAATTACCGCCTATCTACACAGCGGGGTAAGTATTTGGATATAGCGTACTTGTGAAACTTTGAGGAGATTTTAAAGTGATGAGGAAATTATTACATTTCTATTTGTGTACAACGCAAGCTTCTAATAATATAATCCTAACCAGCTGGTTTTTAGTCATCAAGGTTGACATTTCATATTATTTTCAGTTCCGAATCACCCGGCTCCAGTTCCAGCTCCGAATGGTCACCTGGTTCGCCGCTACCACTAATTGACAACCAAATTCTCAGCGCGTTTCAAGACGGACCAGATAGGCATATGGGACCACTTGTCAATCCGCGCTTACCGAAATTACCAGCGACCGCTGCACCGGCTACCCGTCGCGGTACCTCAATACGAATGACCAAGCATGCGCCCAACACCTAGACCCGGCAAGGAGCAATCCGACAGCAAAGGAGCTGAAGGCAAACAAGTTTTAGAAATTTATCGGCTGCAAATGCTAAGTTTTTGCTCAGGGAAAATTAATTGTCAATTGTAGTACTATTTGTTTTTTTATGTTTCGAAGAAAAGTTAAATTAACATGAACTTACAAGTATGTACAAGCATAAGGAAAGCAATTCATGAAGATAATGCGTAGCTTTGCTTGATTAGCAATTGATTGTAGATCAGTAGGAGTGAATTTTCAAATAAATGCGCACAAAAGCAAATTGGGATTTTACTTTTTTTGAGATTTGATTTTGCTATAAAACCATCAGCTCAAAATAGAGAAGGCTGAGTTCCAAGTTGCTCCAATGCAAAGGATCAGAAATAAAAGAGGCTGATGCTTTGCATTGATGCAACTTGGAACTTAGCCGAAGTGTAGATAGATAGATGTTTGAATGAGATATGCTCCGCGACCTAGTGAGTCTATTGTGCCCTCCACTCATCACAACACATCTTTTAATCTCAAGGATTCCAGTGTTGTTCTCTCCTACATATTGTTCGTTTTTTATCACAAAGGATGATTATACCTTAAATTCACCCTGCCTGCTCCAATATCTTTTGGTCTTTTGGAGCCGTCAGTTTGCCACTACATGGGTCCGGCCTGTATATATCCATCCAACCTTGGGTTGCTTCAGGTCCCCCTAGTGCAAAGATCTATTTTAAATTTCCTGCCGAAAACAATTACGTTACTCATATTTTCTATGAGGAAGAGGGCTAGTGGGAGCTGGGATCCTATCTTCTCATATTCCTAGACGATAGGATCTTGCCTCTAGTATAACCATCCCTCGCTCTATGGTGATGTGGTGTGACTGGAGCTCAAGAACTATGTATCTCTAGAGCTGATATCGGGAATGTGCGCATTGCTCCAGTAATACATACATAAGCTAGACGTTGCAGTTTATTGAGACACTGTCTCATCGTGGCCAAGGCAGTTCTTGCTACCGAAGCCACCGCCCCATAGGTCACTATTGGTCGTGCTATCATGGTGTACATCCGTCTAAAGATCTTTGGGCTGCATTTCCAAGACTTGCCTACACTCCATTAGTGCCCTTATAGCCTTTGATGTGGTCACGTCGACGTGGGATCTCTACAGAAGCTTAGAATCCAGGATTAGGCCCGAAGTGTATCTCAAATACTTATTAGCCTATATTTGTTTATTATTCCATATTTTTTTTTCTTTTCTTAAGTGAAGCTTCGCCATGTAGAAGTTAAGCAGTAGAAGAAAAGAGAATACACCCTTTGCAACCGCTTGTTTAATTCTTCTTGGCTTCGAAATATGATCTCAAAAGAGTACTGAGAACAGCCGTACATCCAGATTATTTGCCGTCCGCTCTTTTAGTTTCGGTGGAAGAGAAGATGTCTCAATATCCTCGTTGAGAGACAAACGTTGCCAGATTCAACGCTACTCGAGCGGTGATTTCACGGAGACAGACTCGAATAAGATCACGAGATATCTGAGTGTGTATGACGTAAGGGTTGATGGTGTTGTTCACTTTACGGAAGATATGTTGATGCGCAGCAGGGTTTGAGTTGCACGTAAAGTTTATGAATGGTAAAATCTGAGCTGTATCCACTGCTGCCTTCAAGTGTACAGCGACAAATTGAAGACCTTAGTGGAGCCTTCTTCTTCTAGTCGGTGTCAAGGGTTTTAGAGACTGTTACTGCTGTTGAAAGTAAGAGCCGCAATAAGATTTGGGAAGCTGTACAGCAATCTGGTCACTCTCCCGCCTTGTTGACGCATGTCGTCCGATTGTACAGGAATCGCATGTTTATTTACCAATTGTCGATCTGGCGTAAATAATCGTGCTCATTTAAGTAGGAATAATGCGTGGATTTCCGCGAGTCTACCGGATGGTATAAAGCATTCCCTTACAAATTAACCGCCTTTAATAGGTTTAGGTTTAATATTGTGAGCGCAATCTCGATTAACCAGATAACCTGCCCTGCGATAGATGTCTTTTTCGATGAGACGATACTGCACTGGCCTAGTTATGGTCTAGATACTGTAGCCGTCTCAACAGATCCGACCGCAATATTCCCAATGAGTGTCCGGCATGTGGAGGCTCCACGCACGGCACCAACCACCCCTTCACATGCCAGCTCAACTCCACTCAACTAACACCCCTCTCTCTTTGGTCCGACCCTGCTGAAACTGCCCACTGCTTGGGCCCACCGTTAGTTGAGCTCGACGACAATAATTGATGGACAAACCGAAATAGTCGAGACTTGGAAGTGGCGCTACAACAACAACAGCGAACGCTAGCCTCCACTATTGCCTCAGTTGCTGCGCAATTTCAGTTCTTACATCGCAACTCTCAATAGTATATACCGATCCGGTAGTCTCTTCGCTCTTACTCTGCAGTCCAATTCAGTTAGTCTGTAAGACTCATATTCCTTACGAACAATCCTTTAACGATTTGTAGCGTTCGCCGGTCTCAACATGGTTGGATCGCCGAAACAGCAGCCCATAATGTTTATACTATTTTCAAACAGTATCAAGTACTATTTTACTCCCAAAAATTTCTTATAGAAACCCCTATATTATGCATATACAGTATATTTTATTTTTTCATCTTTAGCAATCATTTCCATTGTGATTATTTGTATTATCTAAGCTAATATAATAGTAATAATAATAATAATATGTGTACGTATGTGTAATTATCATTTCTTTTTTATTTTTATATTCTTGTATTATTTGCAATAAATTCACGTTAACTAAATAAATGAAATTATAGCATAGCAAAGGCTTTAATCCAACTGCAGTGGTTCTTAAAACTCGCCACCTGTGCAGCTGGACTTGTGAATATTTAATAATTATAATTGAGCATAAGCTATACCAAGAGGTAATAAAATATATCCGTGTTCGTATGGAATAGTAGCTTATGTCGGGAAGCTGGCTTAGTATAATGCTACATTCCCTTTATTCTTTAAACGACAAGGAATTTGTTGATGAGATTTAATAAGAATATTGACTTGCTAGTATCGGAACTATTTCTTGCACGTTTATTTGCCAAAAGTTCTTCAACGACTCGGCGCCAGTGAGTCATTCGCAATCGTATGCAGCGAATGCCACATTATACTAAAGCCGGCCTTTCGGCATAAGCTACTATTCCTTACGAACACACAAATATGCATTTCATTTAAAAAAAAAAAAAAAAAAAATTGTGTACAGAAATGCCAACATTAAATAATTTTTATAAAAATGCATTGCATACAATAGTTTTACGCCGTGTGCGAACTTTCAATTATACTGACTTTGCGCGGTAAATAGTATTAGGGAACCTTCTGAAAGCGAGCATAACCACTTGAAAGTAATACTCATGAACAGATATTAATATTCAATCAAGTAGGACAAATTGGATATTTAATAAAAGTCTGTTTTTTAATTTACACATTTAGAAAATCACTTTTCATTTCACTCATTACTTCGTTTTAGCACACGATTGCGTTTACCACATACGAGTTTTTACTTCATTTGGAAGAACATATAAACGAATCAAGTGTCGTTGGTAAATGAAAATGGTATATAAGTATACATATCGTCGTTTAAAGTACAGAACCGCGTATTAACAAAATGCAAAACCGCGTATCAGCAAAATGCAAAACCGCGTATGTGAAGTTTTAGAAATTATTTTCTAGAGGGTAAAAACACTCATATTTCAAAATGGTTCTCTTTTTTAAAAAGCAATCGCATTTCTGGCTAGTATATTTCAGAGCGAATGGATAATGATTGAGCGAAGAGCTTGTGTGAGCAAATCCAATTTTTGGCAGCAAATGTCAGTTACGCGGTTTCGCAGGATGACGATACGCTTTCGTTTTGTACTTTAAACGACGATATACATAAGTACATATATTGTAGTAGCATGAATATCAATAAAATTTTACAACATAGGCGTATAAAAAGAAATTGTTGCGAGTATTTTTGCGCTTCATTTACATATACTATACTTTAGATAAAATACATAATTGAATTAATTCAGTTAATTGCAGCTAGTATGTATATTATTGTTCTCTATGATATTTTTCCCTTTATTTATCTGTGCTTCATTTATCTGGATAGGGTAGAAAATATGCTATAAAAATGATTTCTGCTATGTTTAATGTTTGCCTTTTAATTTTGCCTTTTTCAGTACTGTGCTGCTTATAAGCCGATATCTAACCAAAAAGGCAAAACATTAAACTTTCGTTTCATCCACTTTATACTTAATTTAATTTAATAATTGTAAACTACATAGGCTACGTCCAATATAACGTAGTCTCTTTAATGCTATTGAAGTTGAAAATGGAAAATTTTGTAACGTTTTCAAACACTTATCTTATCATCATGTTAATAGGTATGTGTTGCTGTTAAGGGTACAAATACTTTCTATTCGGTTTTACGGCTAACACTTGAATCGGGCAGTGTATATGTATGTGCATGCAATTGCGTGAAGTTTTTTGTATTTTCCTTTAAATTCACTTAAAAAATACTAAGTGCTTTTGACACGCTTCTTCCGCTTACACACATGGTTCAACGTAATTGCCCGGAAACAGACCGGTCACACCATCCATAACACCTTCCCACCAGCCGTCATCATTCTTCTTTAGCACATACAATACAGAACTTTCTTGAAAACTCAATTCATCATCTTTATCGGCATAGTAATCATAAATTGCGACAACTGTAATTACGAAAAAAAATAGTTTTTTTTCATATATCGTCGTTTAAAGTACAAAACCGCGTATCAAGAAAATGCATAACTCGGTATGTGAGATTGCCCGAATTTTATAGGAGAATGAAACTTCTGATGTATTTTGGAACGATTTTCCCTCATCCCTCGTTACCTCAACAACTTCAACAGCGGAAATGAGTAAAACTTGTCTTATTTCAAAACGGTCCTCTCTTTCATCCATAATTATCTCTTTTTCTTATATCGATATTTTAGTATGAATGATTGAGGGCTTGATGCCAGGAGCTTCCGGGGAGCAAATATCTTTTTTGGCACAAATGTCAGTTACGAAACTTTGCACAACCACGATACGCGGTTTTGTACTTTAAACGACGATATGTATGTGTATGTATATACAAGTATTGAGAAACTTTCAGCCCACATACCTTTTTCGATGTAGTTCTTTGGAACCCAACCGGGTAAATTTTGATCCTCTGGCACGATAGGAGCTAATTGGCCTTGTCCCGTGGACGTACGTGGGCGCCCAAAGT